GGGCCTGCCGCTGGCTGAGGGGTGGCCAGCGAGTGCCGCTGGGCTGCACGGAGCCTCTGCCCTTGGGATGGAGGGATGGGGCCAGAACACGTGCGGGCAGCTCCCGGCAGCAATGGGGGGGTGGGAGGAGTGGGGCACGGGGGGGAACAGCTGCCAGTCCCGGCTCCTACGGACTCTGAGCTGCTGGGTGTGTGGCTGTTGTGCCCACAGCCACCAAGGGCCAGGGGGACAGGTAGCAAAGCAGGTCTCAAGCAGCTCCCTGGTTCCCTGCTTATTCAAGGCACCTTGGGGTGGTCCAGGCCAGTCTGGAGTTGGGTGGCTCCAGCTAAATAGCCCTGCATGTGCCTGAGCCTGCATCAGTGAGCAGAGGAGAGGCTGAGGGGCTGGTTGTTCCCATTCAGTGCTCTGGGACATGCCTGTCCCCTCCGGCAGCTCTCCCAGGGCAGTATTGCCAGCCCAGTGCAAGATGGCACAGTGCAACCCCCCCACATTGGGAGCTGCACAAAGAGTAGAAAAGCTACGGTGAGAGTGCTCCAGACAGAGCCTAGTCCAGAGTTTATTTCCACAGGTGCAGGCAGGGGCTGAGTGAGGCTCGCCATAGCTGCCAGGTGCAAGGCTGGCCTGGGGCTGTGGTGGCCTGGGAGCATCCACATGTTCAAGGTTATGATAGGTGCTGGGAGCACAAGGGACCCTGACAGCCAGCACCCCCCAGCTCTCAGGGGGTGCTGCTGCCCTGCAGTGCCTGGGAATCAATTTGGCGACAGGCAGGCTTTGCATGGGGTCAACACAGCTTGTTGCAGCCACAACCCTACATAGGTGAAATCAGTGTCACCACTGCCATCACAGGCACCTGAAGTCCTTTAGGGCCACCTGGGCAGCATTGCGTCCTGCTGCTCCCATCACTCCTCCACCTGGAAGAGAGCAGAAATAGGGAGTGGTGTGAAGCTCCAGACTCAGAAGATGGGTCTCAGGGCTGCACCAGCAGAGCTGCCTCACCTCCCTGCCTGTGCAAGGGCAGAGAGGGGAGTGGACACCCCTCCTCGCCCCATGCTGCGCTTACAACTTGTCCACATGCCCCTCCCCTCCTTCTGCAGCCCCCAAGGAGGGTCTCAGCTCCCAGCCCTGCTCACCAGGGTGGGCTCCACTTCCACACAGGTACAAGCCAGGAATTGGGGACCGGTAGCCTGAGTAGGCTGGTGCTGGCCGGGCAAAGTACAGCTGGTCCAAAGACATCCCTCCATGGAAGATGTTCTGCAAGCAGAGCTCTGTGTGAGGTGGCTGTGTCTGGCCCAGGGCTGTGTGTACCCACCAGTGCTGGCACCAGAGTGATGCTCAGAGCTGAGCCCACGTGGTGCCCACCCCGCCAGGCAGCCCGAAGATCCTCTCCAGGTCTGGTGGTGTCAGGATGTCCCTGCCGATGACAGATGCCTTGAACCCCGGGGCATAGGCTTCGATGCAGTCAAACACTAGACAGGGATGGAGGGACTGGTGGGCAGCTTTGGGTGACATGGTGGCTAGCCCCTGAGCAGCTCTGCTCATGGGCAGGGACCAGTCCTCCCAGTGTTAGCTGGCTTCGCGTATGCATTATGTACCCACACCCACATACGCATTACGTACCTGTGTCCGCATATGCATTTCTGGCCTGCTCGTCCCAGGGCTGCCCACCCGCCAGCACAGAGGGGGTGTACTGGGTGAAGAGGGACACGACGTGGCAGCCCTGTGGGGCCAGCTCTGGGTCCAGCACCGAGGGGATGCAGAGCTCAATCATGGGCCTGGGGGAGCAGAACACCAGCTGGGTAGGCAGATGGGGACCCAGCCATCCACCATAGCCATCTTGCCACTTACCCAGGGCACCAACATATGCTGATGCAGGTTCCTACCTGCTGGATGGGTGCCCATGGGTAGCCTCAGTGAAGGCCTGGTGCAGGAGGTGGGTGCCCTCGCAGTTGAGATGGATGGAGCATTGGTGATGGGGCAAGGGCTGGCCATCATGGGCATTAGGGGCAGCCAAAAAGCTGGGCAGGCGATCCACTGCCACTGGGCACAGGAGAGATGGGTGAGGGAATAGGGTCCAGCCTCTTGCTGAGCCTGGCACCAGTGTCCTTCCAGTGGGGATGTGGTGGAGGTGGCCCTGTCACTACCTACCATTGATCTTAGTGACAGGGGAGCGTGTATCAATCTGCTGGATCCTCTGGACAAAATCCTTTGGCAGCTGCTCCTGGGGTGGGAGATGCCAGTGCAGAGGCTGGCTGTGAGGGAATAGTGAGGCTGGGGGACACTGCCACGCCAAGCCCCCACCAGCCCTGTGTGCCCCATACCTGGGAGATGAGCTCCAGGAAGGTGATTTGGGGGGAGGCGTTGGACAGCACTATTTTGCTCCTCACCTCTGTCCCATCTCGCAGCACAATGCCCTGTGCCTGCCCATCCTTGCCCAGCAGGATGTGGCACACTGCCTGGGCAGACAGAGGGGATGGGACTTCACTAATAGCATCCCTGCTGACTGCAGGCTGGCCAGGCAGCTCCCCATACCCTGACACCCTGTACCTTCTCAGCAAAGATGTGGGCTCCTCGGGCAGTTGCTGCACGGGCAATGGCTTGGGACAGAGCCCCCATCCCACCAGCCACGTAGCCCCAGGCCCCCCGCTGTCCGTCCAGCTCGCCCATGACATGGTGCAACAGCACGTACCTGCAGTGGCAGGACCTCATGTTAGCTGCCAGCTGAGGGGATGGGTCTGTCCCCTGCATGGGCATAGTGAGGATGGTGCCATGACCCCCAAAGATGGGACTGCGTCAGCTCATGGGAGTTGGCTCAGTTACAGGGAGCACCCACTGGCCAGGACTTGACCTGACCTGGGGACAGAGATGTCCAAACAGAAAAGGGACAGTTGGAGAACACTCAGGAGAGCCATATGGCAGGGATGGGGGTGCAGTCCCTTGTCCAGCCTCAACCCCTGGTCCACCTTGGCAAGGCTGAGCGGGTTGAGGAAGGAAGAGGCAGTTGGGCAGGACATGCGGTACTGGGAGGCAGCAGACACGAGGAGCTGCCAGCACAGAGGATGGTGTGGGGAAAGGGTGCAGCCATGAGCCCTGAGGTAGGGGAAAGCGATCCTCACCCACTGCCAGGGGTGTGGGGGCTAGCCATGGCTCCAATCACTGCGTCAGTAGCCAGAGTTGCCTTCAGGGGCTCCGACTCAAACCACTGATCCAGGATCTGGCCCAGGACAAAAAGAGCACCAGACTCGGGGGGGGGTGGGGGTGCTGCTGCAGCACCCTTACAGTCAGGCAGCAGGGCAGCTGGTAGCTCCACACCGCTACGGCTGTCACTCACCTTGGAGATGGGGGCTGTGAGCACCTCGTAATAGTGGGGCAGCTGCCGCCCCAGCGCCAGCCCTGGGGGTGGAGAGGTGGTGTGACACCTGCATGGCTGTGCCGGGCCAGCCATTTGTGCCCGGCTGGGTTTGGGGGTCAGGCAGCAGGACCAAGGTGGGCACGCCTGCCAGAGCCTGCTGCCAGCCCAGCTGGGGCTCTGGAAGAGCCTGTGCCCTGGGAGGGGGCAGCTCTGATCACCTGCTGCAGGCAAACACCCATTGCCATTGGTGTCCCCCACCATCCCAGATGTACCTGCCCACAGCAAGGGCCGCAGGTCTCGCAGGGCCCTGAGCCTCTGGAGCAGGGAGCCCTGCCCCAGGGCAGCTGTATCCGCTGGGGGGGCATCCAGCAGCGGGTTGAGGGCTGACACCAAGCCCCCCATGAATGCCTCGTACTCAGGGTAAGCCTGAAGGAGGACAGAGCAGGGACAACAGGGACTGTGCTGTGTTGGGTGCAATGGGTATCTCACCCAGCAGCAGCCCCTGGGGGCTTTGCCATGCCGGGTGCATGCCCCCACCGTACCTGGGCATCCTTCTGGGAGAACTGAGCAATCTGCTGCTGGGTCTGGGCCATGTTGTGCCCCAGCAGGAGGGAGCGGGGGGGGCTCCTGTCTTCCAACAGCGGGGTGAAGGAGTAGGGGTCCCGTGGGAGCACCCTCAAGCCATGCTTCTGCAAGACAGGGACAGCAGGACCAACTCTGTGGGGACAGCCTGGCAGCAGGCACACCCTACCAGCATGCCAGGAGATGCCAGCAGCCTGTCAAGGGATTGGTGCCAGTACCTGCAGCTCCAGTTCAGTGTAGATCTGTGGCCGCAGTAGGCTGAGCAGGTACGATGCCCGGGAGAACTTGAAGCCTGGAAGATGTGGGGTGGTGGGGGGTGCCCATGCCCAGGGCTGGCTGGGGGCAGGGGGACAGTGAGTGTGCAGGGCTACCTGGCACAATCTCCTCTGTGACAGCCGCACCGCCCAGCACGTGGCGTTTCTCCAGCACAGCCGTGTGCACCCCTGCCTGCTGCAGATAGGCAGCCTGCGGGGAGCATGGCATCACACTGCCCATCCCTCCAGGTGGGATATATCCATGTCACCCTGAACACCCTCTTGCACATGGTGCTCCCCTCATCAGGGAGCACTCCACTCCTCACAGCCCGTGGGATCCCCCAGCCCTATAGGCACTGCCATCAACACCCTCCCTTGGCCACGGTGCAGACCCTCCCCCTGTTCCCCACAGATGCAGGAGATGCAGCACCCCACTCTTGGTACTCACTGCCACCAGCCCGTTGTGCCCTGCAAGGAGAGAGCCAAGCCCAGCGTCAGGGTGGTCCCATGGCACAGGGTACCCTGCCATGCTGGGGCGTGGGGCTGCCACAGCCACCCAAATAATGGGGTTCTGGACAATGGGATAGAGGTGACAGGGAGCATCCTCCACTGTCCCTACAGCCCTGACCCTAACGGTGCAGCAGAGGGGAACAGAGGTGCTCAAAGCAGATGCCCCAGCTGTGCTCTGCATGCTGGAAGGCTGTAATGTGTGTCCAGTCATGCCAGATCCCTGCATGCTCCCCGGCACAAGGGGGTCTGCACCATGCCCAGCAGCACTGTGGTCCCCACCTGGACACTACCCCTCCCACCCGCCCTGGGGGGAGGCAGTTAGGGGTCCCCACTGGCTCCCCGCAGCCCGGCACTGGCTCCCGCACTGTGTTACCTGCCCCAATCACCACCGCGTCGTATTCCCGCTGCAGCCGGTCTGCAG